ATGCCGTTCTGTTCAGTTCTTTAACATTTGTCACCAACTGTTTTCTCCAATGTAAAGCACTTTACATTTGTTCTTATTAAGCTGCCTTTGCCATCATTCTACCCGTCATCTCATCCTGTGTTTCCCTGAGTGGTGTCCTAAGATACAAATTTTTTTATTGGCAATTCTATTTCAAATTAAATTACAAAGTCCGCCTTGATCCTGATTTATATGGTTAGCACAATAAAGCAGTTTAAAATGTTGCTGAATGGAAGACTAAGTTAATCTACCCCACAATAACTAATTAAATTGGTGTTTTTAGTCTTGTATTTATGGCTGTGCTTTAGCTAGCAGTGGAAAATATGAGCTGGGGAGTAATATTGCTGAACAACAGACAACTCCTGCTTAGAATGAGCTTGCTGACTGAAGGTAAATGGGCACTAAAAAGTTCTGGCATGAAAGAAGGACCCTTTGTGATTTCAAATAAAGCATCCAGCTTCTGAAGACGACAGAGGGAAGGATGAATTACATTAAATAGCACTTGTGAGAGGGTGGTCTGTGAAGGCTTATCTGAATAGCAAACACTCTCACATCAACCCAACACTGGCTCACTCCCAGGGGATAGATCAGGTGGTTGACTCTTAGTTCCGCCCACCCTTCAATGTAAATGGGAGCGCAGCTTGCGCTTTGGCCTGAGTTTGAGGCAGAGCTTTCCTTCGGAGCAGGATGGTACTGGCGGCTGCATTGGGTTGGAGACTGAGACAAGCCCAGGTTCAATCCATCACTGATGGGAAAATCACGTGCTATGCTCACAGGCTCCAGAGGGATATCCCTATCGGGGAGACAATGGCCTAGTGGTATTGTCACTAGTCTGTTAATCTAGAGACCCAGGTAACGTTCCCACCATGGTGGGATCCAATAAAAGAATCTGGAATTAAGAGTCTAATGATGACCACAGTCAGGAGACACCCATCTGGTTCACTAATGTCCCTTTAGGGAAGGGAACTGCCATCCTTACTGCGTCTGGCCTACATGTGACTCCAGACCCATAGCAATGTTGTTGACTTTCCATTGGCCTCTGAGAAATCAGGGATGGGGGCAATAAATGCTGAACTAGCCAGTGAAACACTCATCTTTTGAATGAATAAACAAAAATAATACCAATTAAGATGAGCAATGTGGTTCCTGGAGGCATCTCAAAATAAAGCCAACTGACCAAGACTGGCTAAATTATGGGATAATCCAAAACAAAAATCTCACAAATAAGTACCCTAACATCTCAAAATGCTTTACAGTCAATGTGAAGTGAAACTCTGTTTAAAAATGTGAAACGTGGAGGAACATATACAGGCTCAACCAGAGCCCTCGTGTGACAGTGTCCAACAATCTTCCGTTGTGACATCGGTTAAGGGATAAATATTGGCCTCTCCATCTCTGGCTTTCCCCACTTTGAGATGATCATGGTGGGCGAGAGACCTGTTTGAAGCTCAGTCTTATGTGTCCAGAGAGCTCCCAATACTGAAGCTGAGTTCACTGGACAGCTGTCTCCAGAGGAAATGGAGGCATTGTGAATGAGAGCAGCGATCCAGACCAGACTGGACAGTTAGTTATCTTGCTTTTACCCCCATTACTGCTGAGCTGAGAGAATACACAGCTGCAGGCAGCACAGTGGCTCAGTGATTAGCACTGCTGCCTCACAGCCCCAGGGACCTGGGTTTAATTCCAGCCTTGTGTGACTGTGTGGGTTTCCTCCGGGTGCCCTGGTTTCCACCCATAGTCCAAAGATATGCAGGGTTAGGTGGATTGACCATGTCAAATTGCCCACAGTGTCCAGGGATGTGTAGGTTAGGTGGATTAGCCGTGGGAAATGCAAGGCTATGGAAGGGGGGTGGGTCGGGGGGGGGATGTTTTTTGGAGGGTTGGTATGGAATGAATGGCCTGCTTCCACACTGTAGGGATTCTATGATTGTTAGTATGTTGGTGTGTATACATTGCTATATAGCAGAGCTAATAGCTGAAGTATATTTAGGGGTATTTTAAGAGTGTAATGTTGCACCTGGATAAGCATGTGATGAAAGAGAACAAGTATAAAAGTGTTCAAGTCTCACCTGCTCCAGAGGTGTGGAATAACATCTCTGAATGGGTTGATGTATAAAAAAAAGACACTGTACAGCCTGACGTCTGAGCAGAGCTTACTTCTGCTTTGCAAACAGCCTGCAAAGATGAACCAAGATCGCTTTCCTCTTGCTTGAAGCTCGAATATTCTGTGGAGTGGCTGTACAAAATTACTCTTCGACCTTTTATGGTAGAGGAGTTACTACTCGGGCTGTAAAGTTTTTCATTTTAGAAAGAAATGGCTCGGTATGTTGTGTGGATTGAAAGATTGGCATTGCACAGCATTGACTTCCACTTTTAAAAGGTAACTAAAATATTCCGAATAGATAATATAGTTTGAATACATGGAGTGGAGTTAAAAATAATATTTAATCTCACTGCTTATCAGTGGACTGTATACAGACTTATTATCCTTTTCCAAATAAGTTGCATCTATATCCTTAAATATTTTTGCATTTATTAGCCTTCACCTTCCTGTCTGAATAATTGACAGCCTGGGCTTTAAAATGAAAACGGGGAAAAAAAAACCCTGCAATTTCAAAGACATGTGAAACAAAAACAGGTCTTTCTCGATCATTCATTTGTTCCTCTTATGACCCATAAAGTTATTAATTCTCCCCTCCACCACCATTTTTTCTTTTGCTGTTGCCTACCTTACTGTGGCATAATTGGATTTGCAAGTGATAATAAGGTAACTGATAATGCTACTTCAGAGATCAGCAGAGGAGAAAGGCAGACCAGAGAACGGAGTAGGAGTCTGATACTATCCTAGGTGTGTGTGTGTGTGTGTGTGTGTGTATGTAAAAGAAATAGGAGCAGGAGTTGTTCATCTGGCCCATCGAGTCTGCTCTGCCATTCAATAAGATCAGGGCTGATCATTTCATAGACTCAACTCTGCTCACCCGATCGCTCACCATAACGCTTAATTCCTTCACTGTTCAAAAATCGACCTTTCTTTGCCTTAAAAACATTCAACTGCTTCACTGGGCAGGGATTTTCATAAATAAGGAATGCTACAATAATGAAGAGACCAAGAGAGCCTTACTTTAAGGGTGAAATAAGGAAACAAAAAAAGAGTGGTTGCCAAGCAAAAAGGGAGCAGCCTCATCAGTGCATGTGTACAGACTCATGGCCAGCTAAGCTAGAGATGACATGCTCATAAAGCATATAAAACTTAGCCATGGTAGCAGCAGCATTCACATATAGAATAGCATTTGGCACTTGTCATTATGGTGCCCTCAGAAACTTGTTAACTTAGCATGTTAACTCGGTTTTCCTCTCTTTGCAGGTACCATCGGACCTGCTGAGCTCTTCAGCAGGTTCTCTCACCACATTTTTAGTTGCCAGTTCTGTACATCATAACCTCACATGCACACGGTGACTGACCTGCGATACATTCATTTTCATCGATACAGTCTTAAATGTACTCGATTTAGAACCTTGGTCTGTCGAGAGGCTTTATGTGAGACTGTGGAACTGACGTGAAAGTTAATGGGTGAGGGAGACACCATGTAAGCAACATGCATTTATGTAGCTCTGTTACAGCAATAAAACAACCTCGACACTGACAAAATTTGGCCCTGAGTCATAGACAAACATACACACAATTAGGAGCAGGAGAAGGCCACTCAGCCCCTCAGCCCTGCTTTGCCATTCAATAAGATCACGGTGGATGCGATTACTCTGCATTCACAACCACCACCGATATCTTTTCACCTGTTTATCAGGAATCTATTGACCTGTGCCTTGAAAATATTCAAAGATTCTGCTTGTATTGCCTTTTGAAGAAGAGAATTCCCACTGTAATAAAAAAAGTGCTTGTTAGTCTTAAATGGACACCCACTTATTGTAAAACAGTCTAATTTTAGACCCACCCACAAGAGGAAATATCCTCTCCACATGCATCCTGTCAAGATCCTTGGGATCTTATATGTATCAATGAAATTGCCTCTTACTCTCCTACATGCCAGTGAATCCAAGCCCAGTCTGTCCAACCTTCCCCTATAAGACAATCCACCAAATCCAGGTTTTAGTCTGTGAACCTTCTCCAACCTCTTCAATCACCATTGCATTCCACTACATTTATAGCAGTAGCAGCAGTGTTTACCATCTACAAGATGCACTGCAGAAATTCACCAAGATCCTCAGGTACCACCTTACAAACCCATGACCACTTCCATCTAGGAGGACAAGGGCAGCAGACATATGGGAACACCACCACCTGCAAGTTCACCTCTAAGACACTCACCATCCTGACTTGGAAATATATCACTGTTCCTTCACTGTCACTGGCTCAAAGTCCCATAATTCTCTCCCTAATGGCATTGTGGGTCAACCCACAGCAGGTGGACTGCAGCATTTCAAGATGGCAGCTCACCACCACCTTCTCAAGGGCAACTAGGGATGGGCAATAAATGTTGGCCCAGCCAACGATGCCCACACTCCACAAATGAATAAATTTTTAAAAATCCTTCCTTAAACAAGGAGACCAATACTGTACATAGTACTCCACATATGCTGGGTCTCAACAAAGCCCCCTGTATAACTGCAGCCTAATGTTCTTACATTTGTATATTTTAGTGTCTTTATAAGGAGCTGTCAGGTAGGTGACCAAAAGCATATTCAAAAGGTAGGTCTCCAAGCAGAATCTTAAAGTGAGAACAGAAGGTAGAAAGACAAAGAGCTTAGGAAGGGAGCTCCACAGTTTGGGAACAAAAACAGAAGTTGCTGGAAAAGCTCAGCAAGTCTGATATCATCTGTGAAGAGAAAATCAGAGTTAACATTTTGGGTCTGGGTGACCCTTCCTCAAAGTAGAATTAATATAAATAAAAGGAAAAACTGCGGATGCTGGAAATCTAAACAAACACAGAGAATGCTGGATAATCTCAACAGGACTCGTAGTTTACATTCAAGTCCGGTAAGCTTTCGTTCAGAGCTTCAGAATTAGTGAATCACAGACGTCCTGGAGGACTGAAGGGCTGGAAGACACACAAAGAAAAGCAAAAGCAAGGTCTTGGATGGAGTTGTGTTCAAGGGTGAGAATTTTAAATTTGAAGCATGTTTGGACTGAGTGCTAATTAATAAAGGTTAATAAATGCTGGATGATAGGGAAAATGGGTAAAACAGGAAAGGGGACGCTTCATTTGTATGAATTCAAGCTTAAAGACAGACCAAGACACAAAGTTTGTTTGAAACATGGATAAAAGGAAAATGATTGAAGGGCTATGGCCACAGGGTTGGTAAATGTAATTAGAACTATTTGTCCATGTAGGAATGTTAACTCACACTAACATTGGACCGAATGACCAGTTTCCACGCTGTATTGATGTATTTGTATCCATTGGATTACTATTTTAAATTCTGGGCAAATGTCCAATAATGTTGTTGCAACTTGGAAGTGCTTGATAATATGGATTCAACCTATTGCTCTCCTCATCTCAGTTTTGCAAGTTCAAGCTGATAGAGTACTGACAGTAATCAGCCTGTTGCAAACTGCCAAAGGGACATTCCATTTACTATAATCTGGCAGTCATTGGGAATGGATTATATACCTGGCATTGCACTGGAATTAAGATTCACATCTCATATTGCTCAGTTATGTGGTGTGTAGACTGTCTTTTTTCGCTTGATGGCAACATCCTGTTAGTACAAAGTAGCACACATGTTGCATCAGTATTGTAGCTGATTGGTGAAACAACTGGTTTCACATATTGCTTAAACTTGTAAAACTCAGAATACAATGTGTAATGTTAGATGCGACGCGTCCATTGGTGAACAGTCTGCTAAAAATGGCTGAGCAACCAATTTAATATTATTAGTCAAACTCACAAAGCGACTCAGCTAAACTTGCTATAAGATACATTGCTTCATGTAGGGATCTGTTCTCTGCAGACGAAGGGTCAGTTCGATATATTGCGCCATTCTGTAAACATAGATAACGGGATCAATCGTTTTCTGGTGAAGGTTTCATGGGAATGCCTTTATCAATCAGAGTCAGCTAGTCAATGAATCAGCACCTTTTTCTCACACAGCAGTAACTTAGTGTTCTCTTTGAGATTTAGTATTGTTGTGATATGATCCTGATGAGTGCAAAATGATAAGCTTTGATTGCACATCTCTTTCGTCAGCAACACTCAATTCTGACCTGCCAAGCACGTAAACAGCCTTTCTGAATCAGCAGAATATCATCACTTTAACTTGAAAAGTAGCCATATTGCTTCTTGAACCAGTTAAATGTTCAAGGCTAGCATAAACGATTGAGTGTAACTTGCATTTAAAATTCCTGCAATCTTGAGCCAGTTCAACTGATTCTCCCTGGATTGCGTTAAATCTGGGAAAACATTTAGCAGAGACAGGCATAAACTTCCACTCTCCTCTACCACTGTACCATTAGGTTCATCACAATTATCTTTTTTTAAAATTTGAACTGAAATTAAACATGTCTGATAGAAAAATTGAGTTATCATTGTCAAAAGAGAGGATAGCTATCAAATATCACAAAGCATTTCACTCAATGAATTAAATTTTAGATTGCAAAGACTGTTGATATGCTGGGGAAAGCATTTTTGGCAGGAGATTAGCTGTTAAAAAGTTCATAGAAAAATCAATTAGAATATCTGGAACAGTTAGGTAATAATTCGACAGAAACTTTTTAGTGTTGAAGGTAAACCTGTCCCAATTAAAAAGCTTGGTGCGGAACAGTGCTATGATATACGCTTATTATTTGGCTGAATCCACGAGATTCATTTCTTGGTCCTTGGTTTGTTATATGCTGATCAGACTCAGTTGAACCAAATTATCCAGCTCTGCAGTTTTTGAGTACTGCCCTTTGACAATCCGATCAAGCTAAAGAAATTCAACCTGAGATTTTATGGAATGCAAGGCACGGTTTAATTGAAAATGAAATATCAGAGCAGTCCAATGTGAGATGATATTCAGCGGAAGAGTTCATTAAATCCCCAGGGTGGAAACATCTGTGGAGGTCACTGAGACTGTTCGACACCAAACCTCTCATACTTCGTCCTATGATAACGGTAACAGGGAATGAAACTTGTGACAATATCCACATATCGTGACAAAGAGTGAGCAGTGCCTTTCTGGGTAGTACTCTTGTCTCTAGCTCAGAAGGGTTATGCGTTCAAGTCTTACTTGAGTGGCTCAAGCACAGTGATCTAGGCTGAGACTGCACTGCAGTACTAAGGGAGTGCTGCACTGCTGGATACACTGTCATTAGGATGAAATGTTAAATAGACATCTATCTTGGTCTCAGCAAGATCCCATGGCATGACTTCAAAATAAGAGTACAAGAGATGCCACCACAGAACATATATTTTCCTCCCCTCCCTTGTCAACATTCCACAGGACTAATTCCCTCTGCGGCACCTTGGTCCACTCCTTCTCCACTCTCATCACCTCCCCAAAGCCTCACTCCACCTTCCCCTGGAACCGCAGAAGGTGTAACACCTGCTCATTTACTTCCTCCGTCCTCACTATCCAAGGCTCCAGACACACCTCCCAGGTGAAGCAGTGATTTACCTGCACTGTACTCTATCTAGTCTACTGCATTCGCTGTTTACAATGTGGTCTCCTTTAGACTGGGGAGACAAACTGGAGACTGAGTGACTGAGTGGAGACAAAGTGGAGACTGAGTGAACATCACCATTCTGTCCACAAAAAAGACCCTGAGCTTCCAGTTGCCTGCCACTTCAACACACCACCGTGTTCCCTCCCAACATCCTGGCCTCGGGCTTGCTGGAGCGCTTCAGTGATGCTCAGTGCAAACTGGAAGAACAGCATCTCATTTTGCACTTGGGAACCCTGCAACCTGCTGGACTCAATATCGAGTTCAATAATCTTAGGCCTTGAGTGCCTTCCCCCATATCCTTACCCAACACCCACACACCAGGCCTTGTCATCACAGGGGTGGCTATCACAACCAACCCATTGTCAGCCACTAACAATTCCCATTAGCAGTTAATCAGGCTCCCAGGCTGACATTTACCCATTCCTTTGTCTATCCAACTGTTTTGCTCGCTCTCTGGGCTCCACCTCTCCCCAATCTCATCATTAACATATAGACCAACTTTTCCTAACTGCAATAATTTCTGAAGAAGTAAAACAAAAACCAAAAGATCTGTGGATGCTGTAAATCAGGAACAAAAACAGAAGTTGCTGGAAAAGCTCAGAAAGTCTGGCAGCATTTGTGAAGAAAAAAAGATCAGAGTTATCGTTTCGGGTTCGGTGACCCTTCCCCAGAGCACCTCAGTCCTGACGAAGGGTCACCGGACCTAAAACGTTAACCTGAAATGTTAACTCTGATTTCTCTCCACAGATGCTGCCAGATCTGCCCAGTTTTTCCAGCAATTTCCATTTTAGTTTCTGATTTCCAGCATCCACAATTATTTGTTTTGTTTTTGTTTGGGGAATGAGTCTTGGTCTCCTAGCCAATACTTATCCTTCAACCAATATCAGAAAAGACTGATTGTCTGGACATTAGGACATCAGTGTTGCTTTTGGTTGTTGTGTTTCCTTCTCTACAACATTGACTACACTTCAGAAGTACTTCAGTGTTTGTAAAGAGTTTCATGATGATCCGAGGGTGTAAAACGCACATGTAGAGACATGTTTCCTTTTCATTGGCTCGTATTTCTATCAAATCAATACTGTGCTCTTAGCTACATATTTCCGAATCTGGAACACGGAGAAACCTCATTAGTGGCTTTTTAAAATCTTATACTTTCGCAGGATGGGAGTGGCACTTGCCAGGTCAACATTTGCTGTCCATCTCTAATTACCCTTCAACTGAGTGGCTTGCTAGGCCATCCAGGAGGCAGTTAAGAGTCAATTGTGGGTCTGGAATCACATGTAGGCCAGACAGGGTAAGGACAGCAGATTTCCTTCCCTAAAGGGCACTCGTGAATCAGATGGGTTTTCACAACAATCAGTGATAGCCGTCCTGGTCATTGCTGCTGAAACTAGTTTTCAATTTCAGATTTTATTAAATAATTGAATTTAAATTTCCCCAAGTTGCCATGGTATGATGTGAACCTGCACTTCCAGGCATTAACTGGGCCTCTGGATTGTTCCATGATGTTAGCACTGTCTCCTCATCACCACCAGTAGCTATTCCAGGAGCATTCCAGTTTGGAACTCGTTTTGCTGGCACATCCCATGAACAAATTAAAAAAAAAAATTGAGAACACTTGCATGTTGCTGCATCACAGCAAAGTACAAGGAGGCACCAATATTTCAGCTTAACTCCTGTAACAACACTTTCTAAGCATCTTACCCTTTGTCCACAGAATCCCTATAGTGTGGGAACAGGCCATTCAGCCTTTTAAGTCCACACTGACCCTCTGAAGAGCATCCCACCCAGACCCATCTCCCCTTAACCTTATTCTCTGCAACCCTGCATTTCCCATAGCTAATCCTCCTAATCTACACATCCCTGGACACTATGAGCAATTTAGCACAGCCAAGCCATCTAACCTGTGGGATGAAATTGGAGCATGCAGCAGAAACCCACCCAGAGACAGGGAAAATGTGCAAACTCCATACAGGCAGTTGCCTGAGGGTGGAATTGAACCTGGGTCCCTGGTGCTGTGAAGCAGCAGTGCTAACCACTGAGCCACCATGCCACCCCTGCTCTCTAGCATTTTAAATCCAAGTAATTGCTTGGCAGTCCACAATTTAAACATTGCCTAAAAAGGAACATGAAGTTGAAGGTTTTCATCTTGAATTCAACCAGTCTGAATTTGGTTTGCATGTCTCTTTCTATAAATTTTATACTGAGTCATTTGTCATTGCCCCTATGATTTCATTACAAGAGTCACTTTATAGCACGTTCAGGAGTTTAATCTCATAGCTAACCAGGTGTAAGTGAGCTGGTTCGGACAACAGTAAATATGATGGGTGACCTTTCTTCATGGCCTTCTACGTCAGCAGGTCACCTAAACATGTAAAAACAACAGTCCATCCCACCCCTCCCCCCCTCCCAATTTATTAATCCTAATCTTCAAATCCAAAGCGGAGTTGTCATTCTAGTCCAATTGACCTGCCGTCTCTGGGAATAAGGATAAAACTCCTGGACATGCTCTAAAGTGACTTGTAATAAAATCATAGAGGCAATGACAAAGGACTCCTGCATCTTTCATCTTCTTTGAACATACATATCAGATGTAAAAAATTGCCAAAAAGGGAGACGAAATTCCGAAAACCAGATT